ACTTTCGCTGCAGCTAAGCTTGCGCAGGCTGAGTTTGCCCCTTGTTGTCAAGTGAAGGGCTGTGGGAAGGTCCCCAGGCTCTCATTTGCATAATATTTACTTATGAGCCGCCTTGATGCCCCCTCCCCCTTGGTCACCCCCAAGCAGCAGCTTGGAAGAAAATAATTTGCTAAATTATGTCTTAAATAGTTAACAAAGTTTGCACGAAAATGTGCGGACCTTTCGTTGCCAGCAGATTTCTCAGCGATGAGGTAAACAAAACGTCTTGCACGCTCCCTGAACTTAATGTTGCACGCAAAGAAAAGGGCTTGTTTAATAAGCAACCAAAATATATATTTAAGCATTGCGAACAGGGAATATAACCAGATATATCAATAACCAAATTTACTTGTAACTACCTGTAGTGAAATGTAAGATTTAAATTTCTAATCGATTTTTAACCTTTTACTCATTTCCTAAATTCCATTATTCCATGTGTCGATGCCTGATATCTAAGTAAAATGCATGTAACGATTCGTAGTTATTTATGTCTGTATATAAATCGACTTGGGTATTTATTTAATAGTTTTATATAATGTAACTTAACACTATATTTGTGTTTACACTAATTGATTGACTGACTATATATTCAAAGGTTTAACTCTTTAAATCTTATATTAAACGACTTTTTGATTTGAGCTTTTATATTCTAATCAGTTGTTTTATTTCCTTTTCTAATACCAACTCCGTTCAGTGCAATCTTACCCTCGGCGGAAGATGCAGCTAAGCCCTTGTCAATTTACTCCTTCTGCCCATTACCGCCGGAGGACAAACAATGGCTTTGATGGAGCAGCAGTTCTGGCCAATGCAAACAAAGATCAGCACTGCAAACGACGTGACAAACAGTTCGCCCTTCGATGGCTCACAGACGAAAACTTAAACTAATTCGCTTTAAGCGAGCTTCAGATGCAGTCGAAACTCCATTCCCCAATCACCCAGCAATGTTCCAGCTTATCTTCACATGACGCCGGTGGGGTTGGTGGGGGTGGTGGGAAATCCTCACGTAGACCGACCCCCAATCGTAAATTTCGCCCCCGAAAACTTTCCATTAAGAAGCTCAAAAACAGATACGCAAAGTTCCGAGTGCTCATCGCGGGGGCGCGACATTGGCCGTGCAACAAATCACGGCCCGAAAACGCAATCCTCCCATCCTCCAATCTTCCAATCCTCGAATCCCCGCAATCCCAATCCGAAAACCAGACCAGGCATAATGGAAATCCCGTTGAACCTGCCGCGCTGTCCGGCGGAAAATTCGGGGCAAAATGGGGAAAAGGAAAAGGCCAGGGGGCCGTCGCAAAAAGAAAGAAGGAAAAATAGACGTTGCAGGAAGTGCACGCAGTCTGTTAGTCGGGAAACGAATATCATAATTTACTTTGTCACCCGCTGCGAATTAGCGTGCCAGCCATGTGTGTGTGTCGGCCCTTTATATATATATATCTATATATATTAACGCGACTGGCCACGCCCCTTTGGTGGGCAGGAGGCCGACTCAGCGTGGCGCTTAAAAAGCCGGAACATTTTAAACAAAAGCCAAGCTGAAGGCTCTCGAACTCCAACTCTCGAAAACTTTCGGAAAAAGCACTTAAAAATTTTGTGTGCGCTGACTTTAACATACGATAAAGAGTCTGTCGCAGGGGTGGACAGAGAGGGGGTGGTTTCCGCGGGAAAGGCACTGGGTGGTCGGGGGGCGGGCCAGAAGACGAGCAGCCATTTTGGCAGCTTCAGCCAGACAAATAAGCCACGTTGCAGGCTCAGATTGCAGTCGCTGAATGAGATGGCGGCGGCAATTCTAGCGCTGCACAGGGAGAAAAACTTGGTAAGCCGGTTTATTTTCTAAGAATGCAAAAAAAAAAGTTTGAGCTTAATAAATAAATAAAACTTTAGTTTTAAAAAAAATTAAACATTGCTTTATTAAAACATACTTGTTATTTATATTTCAAGATCAGTTGTTTTAATTCTATTTCTTTGGTTGATGGATTTTTTACTTTGTTAGTATATTCTTCTGATGTTCAACTATCTTTCAATTGACTGCTTATTAACCTTCTTATTAATGCAATGTTAATGAAAAAATATATGGCCTTGTCCTTTAATTATATTTAATAAAATTAGTAATTTCTTTTTATATTTGACTTGGACATCCTTTGCTTTTTAAAACAAATTGGGTAGTCAATGCTTCATTTAATTTAAAAATCAGATAGCTTATTGACATAAGACTTATCTGTAAATATTAAATATAAATTTAAACTCAATATATATACGCACATTAAAAGCCCTGTGTGTCAAGGACAATGCATTCATAAGTTTAGACCAGAAGTAAACCGTTCAGTGCACTTCCTTCCGCCCAAGCCATTTGTGTGTGTGTGTGTGTGTGTGTGTTAGTCTGCGAGTTGGCCACAATGCAAATTAATAAAAAAGCATTTGAGGCTGAACATTTTTACCAGCTTGGCTAATAAATAACGCGACGGCGACAGCTTCATTTGTTTAAGTGCCTGACAGAGTGGAACCGAAAAAAGCACGCGTAAAAAACCAAAAAACCCAGCAGGAAAAGTAACGAAAGTGGAGAGAGAGTGTCGGGCGGCGTTTTAATCGCTCCATCAGCTTGGCTCATGCATATTCATTCAAACGCCTAAAAATACGCCGTCAAGTATATCTTAATTTTGGTTGGCAACTTAAGTGCACTATTTTGGGCTGCCCCAGAATTATGAAATCCATTTGTGTGGCCATAATTAATGTATACACTTCGTTCGGGACTCAAGGTTACAGGGAGGGGAGTGCTCTTGGCATTAGTAGAGAACAAATTATCCCTGATCGAATCGAGACGAAGCACTAATGCGAATAAAGCATCCAATACTTTTTATGATGTTAGCCTTCGATATGATTACGATACAAGGCACACACACACCCACACATTCGCATACAGGAATGTACAAACCATTTGCAAAGTCATCACGTATACGCCACCGCTTACAGTGTCGAGGGATGAGAGCAGATGAAAAAGGATGAGCTGGGCAGCTTTGCTCACTCACTCACATGCATTTAGATTGCTTCGCCGCCTGATTTCATTTTGATTCTTCCATGGGGCCATTATTCCCGTTGTTATTTGCCATTATGACAATTCAGTTAGTCAAATTCCGTTACGGGCTTAAAACTAATTTGAGATTAAGTTCCGAGATTCAGCCACCATTGGGGATTTTCTGCAAGCATTTTTGTGCATCAGCACACCGGCCGCCTAAGGAAGTCGCAAGAAGTCGAAGGAAGTCGATGGAAGCAAACGGAAAGCGAAAATGTAATAAGTGATTTACATGACTCGAAGGAATTCCACCGCAGGGCACATGAAATCGAGAAATTGTCGATGCCAGAAATCGATACTTCATTAAGATACAACCGAAAGGCAGAGTAGTAGCAGTCTGGAACTGGTAGAGTGCGGAAAGCAGGGCCTAACGACTACGCATCGTTGGCTTCATGGCCTATCTAAATGGTTAGATGACTGATATGGCAGACGGAATCACGCCGTTCCAGCACTCCAGCACTCCCCCACTCCTGTTCCATTTTTGCTCCTCCCTCTTCCAAAATCCTATCCCTAACCTTTATTAAAGTCTTTCCTCCATCGAGTGTTTTCGAACCGTTTTATTGACCCTCAATATTTTGGCTCTGCCAGAGTGACAAGCCCAATGAATGCCGTTGACAGCATGGCGGCTGTAAAACGGCTTATGCACCCAGAAAAATTGCTAACAGGATTGCTGAAATATTCTTTTATATTTCACACAATAAATATTTGTAAACTGCACTTTAAACTCCCTAAATTTATATAAATTTATAAACATAAAATGGATTACGCAAAGGATTATGACTAGAATTAGTCTTTTAACAACATTTAAAATCTTAGTCATTGTTTTGTTTAACAAAAATATTAGCCTTACCGTAAGATATTTTACAATTTCTATCAAACTAAATATTGTAATGCCATTTTTCTCAATGTGCACTTATATCAATGCTGCTGGCGGTAATAATTCACATGGAACGACAATATCACGGATTTATCTAACTGAATTTTTCATGCGCAAATTTCGGTCGCGTATCAAACGCTTGTCGGGCCAAATTGAAAATTTGTGGCCTTTTTTAATGCCGTTGTCATATATTATGAAAATGTTATGTCGGTGCTGGTCAGTCTGGGCTGCGATCGCCTGACTGCAACTAAATTAGAATGTTAATGGGCGGTGACCTTAAAAGCAGCCCAACTTTGGCCCATTCCGAACATACGTGCATATAGTACATGCAGAATTTTAATTATTTAAGCTGGTGACAAAAGACAACAATCGAGAGGCGGGAGACCCACAAATAATTGCAGCGGAAATTGAAATTATGTTTTGCTTGGTCTAATTTTCATTCGGCTTTGGGTTTGGGTTTGGGTTTTCCATTTACGCTTGGTTAGTTGCAAATTAAATGTTGAGCCCTGCATTAAAGTTGCATTTTTGGGACGTGGTCAAATATATTGAAGCGATTACATATATAGCTAAAGCCGATTGGTTGGGTACATGAATTTAAGCTCCTTACTCAAAAGACTACTGGTTAACATTTGAGAATAAAAAATTACTTGTTTAATTACTCTTTACTGTTTAAACTCTGAACTAGAAAGTTGTACTAATAGTTTTCTGTTTACAATTTATTATACAATGCCGTAACAAGATTATTAAATCTTTATTTCACATACAAGTATTTTATTTGAACTTGATTCTGTTATGTTTTTAACAGGTCGTGAACAGAACCACAACGGTTTGAATTATAAACTCTTTTTAAAACTGTTTGCTGGAAAGCAATCGATACGTGCAGTTGTATATACAAAGTGTATTTTTTTTAGGTTTATATTGCCTTAATACTAAAATTAGTTATGCACGTGATTAGACATAATATTTATGGCAATTTTCTGGTAACCCTGCTTAGTTTTCAAGCAACCTTCGATCATGGCACATTGTCAACTGTATAATTTGGCATTTGTTTTGGTTACTGTGATGTGGACAGTTCATCCGGTTGAAGGATATTTTCCAGAGCTTCTGGGATTTTTTCTTCACTGTTCCAACGAGCAACCTGTGGGCAACGGGAAACCATGAACTATGTGAAGTCTTGCCTCTTTGGATGTATTTGCAAAATGGGCAGGATTCGGAAGTTCGCTATCTGTATTCCAATTGCCCAATGTGACGAGAGGACTCCTTTAACCAAGGAGTAAAAATCAACAGGTATTTCGTCGTAATTACGTCGTGCTAAAACTCAATTAAGAAAATTTACCATGGATGAACGAAATCAAATTTCGCAACTCCCGCAGCGTTAATTGAAGATTCCTCAATAAAAACGAATGGAAAATGAAAAGGGGGAAAATGCAAACTCGTTAACCCATTGAACCAGCGCGGGACTCATGTTTGATCCCTGCTTTTATTATTATTTTTTTTTTGCTGCTTTGTGTGGCGTTGGAAAGGGCAAAGAAAGACGCACATCCAGCGAAAAGCTATTAAGACATAAAACATTCCCAACACCTTCCCGGCCACGCCTCCTAAAATGGAAAAAATGTGGCTGGGGCGGACAACTCACACACGGAGAAAGAAATAGGAAGTAGCAGCAAAAGGAAATGTTTCTAATTCAACGGAACGCATTTCGCATTTCAACGTAATGAAAATGGGTAAAAGGGCTGACAGACAGCCACGCCCCTTGTGCCGTTGACATTTTTGTCGAATCTGCCGCTGACTGACAGTTGGAAAAGTCTGGGGAGGTAAAACGGTCAAAATGGGAATACGGGGCGGCGTGTGGGCGGAAGTGGGCGGAGTCCAAGGACATGCGTTTTCTTGCCTTCCATCATTGGCCTGCTCGCAACACTTTCCGCTTTTATTTTGCAGTATGAACAATTTCATCCATTCGCCATCCATTCGAATCGCTGCCACTTTGGTGAGAAATGCACTTCAAAACTTTTCAATTTGAGGAAAGGAGCTTCTCGGATTCATCGCTCGCTGTTGTTGTTGCTGTTGTTGCTGTTGTTGCTGTTGTTGCTGTTGTTGCTGTGTCGTTCTTGTCGCTAATGACAATACACTAGTACTTCGTGTGCATGTGTGTGTGTGCCCCTGTATCTGTGAGCGCGCATTTACGCTCTTTACTTATTTGATTTACGTCTCATTTCCGGCTGCCATATGCTGCCTCGCATACGAATTCAGTGAAGGAAGCAGCGTTTAGCTGCATCTCTACAGAGAAACAGAAAAATGCTGAAAGAAAACTGAACAGATTGAGAACATTTTTGAAACTATACAAAATTATGAAACGCAGGGAAAAAATAACATATAGTTAATTTGAGAAATTTAAAAACAATTAAAATTGCATCAGTGTAGTATTTGGCAATAATTAAGATAGGTAACATTTTTATCAGTTTTTGAAAGTAGGTAGCTTTAAATTTAAATAATTTCCATTTAAGCAGCAGTTTCAAAAATATTAGTGGGATTTTAAAAACCAAAAACAAGACCAAAAGAAGCATTAATAATATAAAGATACATTTATAAAATGGTAAGAAATCTTTATTGATTAAGCAGTCTAAAGAATGCGATTTTTTGCAGTGCATCTTTAAGTGTGGTGCACGTTGTTTAAGTGTATGAGTTTTAAGGCGACACATACTAAAAGCCAGGACCCGTTATCCTGCTATCCACATACACACACGACGTTATGCAATTATAACTTTTGTCGTTAGCAACTTTAAGCAACTTTAAACGTAAATTGCCGCCGTGAAGTAGCTTTTGGCGCACGCTCTCAAGCGCCGCCATTTACCCACACAGTCACACACACTAACTAATACAAATGCAGTACCAAACACACACGGCTCACACACACACGCACACACACACACACAACGTTATAGTTTGTTGTCGGCTTTAGAGCAAAGTGTGTGAAAGGTGTTTTATTGAATTAAGTGGGTTTAACGGGATTTCTATAATGCCAGCGACAGTCGGCAGTCCTGCATATGTATTTATTGTAACTACAGTTGCTAGTTTTCCACCCACTCGCCACCCGCGCTCTGCCTTTCACTGGGAAATGCCTGTGAGTTTGCTAGTACGAAAACTGTGGCACTTTTGGGTTAAACTTTCCCTACGTAATGCATATTTCATTTAATTTTTTTTCAAGAGTTGCCAAACCGAAAAATGTGCAAATGATGAGGAGCCGAGGACGAGAGTTGTAAATTGCTTGGCAACAGTCAAGTGGCACGGGAATAATTATGCAAATTAAGTTGGCGAAAACGAAAACGAAGGTGTTGCCAAATTCCTACAATAGATACGAAACTTATTAGCTAATCAGCTAAGTTAGTTAGAGTTCAGCCAACCCGACCACAGCTACACTTCCGACCATAAATGTGTGGGCATTGCAGTTATAATTAATGTGAAATGTTTTTGTTTCTCGCTTTTCCCTCCAAAGTCGAGCGTGAGGCATGCACAACCCATTTCCACTCGAAAGCCTGCTCCACTGCAGATATTTCTCATGTTTTACCCGGCTTTTCCGCTCTTGATTGCTCTTTGGCTTTTCCCGGTACATGCAAAGGTCCGAAGCTTGCAATAGGGCCAGTTACACTTCTCTGTCGTGTTTCTATTTTTAGTGAGTATTTAGTGCGGGCCACCTGCTTTCCCCTTTTTAAATGTCTTTTAAATATTAATCAGCCATTTAACTGCCACAACACGTTGATGCATGGGGCTCAATTAGGCTGCAAATAGCTCGAAATTGTTTGCTTAATAAACGTCATTCATCAAATCGACACGTACTTTTATTCCAGGTTTCCAGGGGGTTCGACAGCCACGCAAACACGCAAAGTTCGTGACGACTTAACCCCAAGAACCCCCGGAAATGCAGGTCAAGAAGGGGGCGTGGCAGGGGGCTGTGACAGCTGGCCGCCGCCCTGCAGGAGAAACACTTTCGGGAAGTTTAGTGGCAGCTAAGTGAATGAATATTGGTTTATTTCTTGCATAATTTTCATTGTTGATATTTGCAGCCATCGTGATCGTGCATCAAAAGGCAACCTAATTTGCCACATGCCGCGGATCTCTCGTCGACCCTGTCATCCTTTGTTTGCAGTGGCACTTTGGCGACGCAATTGACGTCCCGTCTGCAGTGCACCCTTGCCGGCATAAAAAACAATATAAATATTAATGCTATTTGCGTAACAATTCAATTCGGTCGAGAGGGTTCGGCACTGGGGATTCAGGACTCGGGAATCCGTAATCGTGAAACACTTGGCCGCTTCACATGAACACACCATTCAGACACCAAGCCAACGGGGTGTTGCATATTAATCACAGACACAGGCCGAGGTAGGAATGCCGAATGTATCAGCCGCCATAAATTCACATGCCAAGGCACTGAGAAAAATATTGGGAATATTTTGGAAAGAGGCATTTTTTATTGCTGTCAATTCAAAACAGATAATTTAAATAGAAAACAACATAATTAAGGTCCCATAATAAACTAAAATTTTTTAATACTATTTAAGATAATTTCTCCTGTTATGATTGAAAAGAAAATATTTAGTTTCTATAAATAATTAAAAATAATACACTTTCTCTCCGTGCATTAACATAGGAAAAAGTGCGTTTGTCGGCCGGAGGATGCCTGGAGTGCAGCTCACTGGGCGGCAAAACTGCCGGGGTTGCACTCGTTTTAGGTTGTAAGCCGCTGGAAATACTTTAATCCACTTCACAGTGACACTGAAATTAAAACATACAATCGGGCCTCGTAAACAACCCCGAAAATGTGGCAAAACGGGAAGGAATCGCGACTGAATGGATGGGGTGGGGGTACCATTCAAATTGGCTGCTATCGCAATTATTCATACGGCGGCAACATTCATAAAATGTACCCGCGATGCAGGCAGTTCCCGTTAAGCCAGGCACACAGACACAGATGCAAATACAGACACAGATGCAAATACAGATACAGATACAGATACAGACATCGACTTGCAAAGGACTTCCCTGGACTGACGTCACTTTGACAGTTGAAACACAAATGCAATTATCACTTTATTTTAAACGATTTATGTGCAGCATTGCAAGAACACACACACGCACACACAAGCACACATTCGAGCTGAATACAGGACGCAGGACATGTAGACATGACAACGACAACAGCGGCAAACGGAAGCGGAAATGACAACAAGCGCAGCCACCAAACGAACGGCCCGATGTCCGCCGCCTGGGGAATGCGGTCAGAAAAGGTGTGTGCGCCGGCATAAAAATACCTGGGATAAAAACACAAAACAGTGGAAAACACTGCGATCGATGGCGGGGAAGGCGGGATAGGCAAGTTCTCACTATGTTTCGCGGTTTGTCACTTCAGCGCTATTTAAAGTTAAAATTGTCGACCCAAAAGTGCTCTTATTATTAGGATAATTTATTCAGTGCCCGTTTTTAGTAAGCATGACGTTTTGTAAATAAACTCAGCTGAAAAAAAAAAAACCAAATCAAAGCTAATAAATTAATATGTTAGGCTATTTTAAAATGATTTTTACGGTTTTATGAATGGAATGTTTAAAGATGAAGAAAAAGTTATTATATGTCTTATAAAATTATATTTATAACTGAACTGAAAATAAAATTAAACTTCAAAGTATACAAATATTGCTTATTCATGTTGAAGTTTAATAGCTTTTTTAAATGAAACAAAACAGGAAAACTAGATTCCAAAGAGAGATGTGTTTTATTGCAATAATCGAAACGGAATTGCTGAGACCTGAAGAGCCCTAAAAATAACTTTTCCATTCATTTGAAAATGGAAATTCTACGCTTCACTTGTCACGATTTTCAACAGCCCATCAAGTGCGGAATTTCGAGTTTAAATTTTTTGAACATTAACAATGTCTATTTATATCCCTTGTGGGTTTGGCCAGCGATGCGAGTGTAATTTAGGGCATACATGTCCGTCTGACAGGCTCTCTCTCGTATCGGTCACTTGGATTGCTGCTTATCAATATTGTATTAGATCTGGACTCTGATACTGCTCTGCAATTGCAGCATATTTCCATGAATGGTACTTTTTTTTTGCGACGCTGACTTATTGAAATTGACAGAAGGTTAATGGCGTTGAATGACGCCGAAAATTGAGGCAGCAGCTCTGGCAATTTAACACCCCGCTGGGCAGTCGAAAGGGGCGGGAAGCGGTAGGCGGTGGGCGGTATGAGGACTAGGGGCGGGGCAGGACCTCACCACATGACAGCGATTCGCAACAGCCGCTTAGAGTTCTGATGTGGAGAGCGGGGAGCGGGGAGATTTGCGATAAAAAATGATTGCACATGCGAGCGTTTTGGCTCGAAATTGCAGCATTTGCGGCATGGAAATATATCTAAATATATATATGGATAGATAAATTGGAATCTAAGGGTGAGTCTGGTGAGACAATCGGGCACCCTGTGCTCTGGATTTGCACTTGCCTCTCGGCTTTGGATTTGGTTTTGGCGGGTTATCAGTGGCCTGGGCCATAAATCACTGTCAAGTGTCATTCGCCCTCGAAGTATCCTTTATCCCAGCCGAGAAGGAAACTTTTCCACACACACACACAGATCCATCGCTGTAAGGATATATATATATATATAGATCCATAGAGAGCGGTATCAACTTACCACGAACATGTGCCCGGGGGCAATAAGGTGCAGCGCCGGAAGCTGCAGCGGCCTAGGACATAGAAAACGACTTAGTATTGTATGGAAAAATCGAAAAAAGTTGCTAATTAAGGTTTGTGTTTACCGGGGGTCGCGAACTTCGCCGCCCTGAACTTCCGGTCCCCAGCGAAAGTGTTATCCCCAAATTTCATCTGAAATTGTATCAGCTACCGAGTACAGAGAAAAATATTTTTGTATATGCTAAAATCTTTTTATTATTTATAGTTTAAATTCCCAAAATAAAAACTACTGATTTAATTTAATTGTTTTTTTTGTCAAAATATTTTTAAACATATATTTCATACTTTTATTTAAATTATGGGTTTTTTTACATTGCCTAAGCTTACTGTTGATATTTTCAAAGTGTCTTGGAAAAATGTGATTGAACATTTTCCATTATAAAACTAGTTTGCTTTAAATTAACTACTTTAATTTCAATAGGAAATAGCTTGAGTGACTTTAACCAAAGAATCAACTAAAATATTCTATGAAAATTTATCCATTTTAAGTTAATTTAATGCACGAATTTGTTTTCCAGTGTACTTCTCCGCATTTGGTAGACACAGTTGCATTCGTCACGCATTGGTTGGCATTTCGCTGCGCTGTCAGTTGGCGAAAAACCGCAGAGCGAATGACTTTGCCCGCCCTTCCCTTATTCCGATGCCATGGCTAATTTCCGCTATTGTTCATAATTTTTATTGCGCTTGTTGCCAATTAGTTTCGGTTTCGCCCGATGCCCGATGCTCGATGCCAGATCGCGACCCCTTATCACTGTTGCAATTTTTTGCAATTTAAAATTTGTTATAAATCGTGGCTGGTTTCGTTTAGGGGTTGATCCTTAATGTTCCCTTTTCTCCTCTTTAAAGGCGTTGACAACGACAACGGCAACAACATGAAGAGCCTGCGATTACAGGATTGCGAACACGATTGCACTGCTGACTTCCAGAGGGTGGGTTTTCAGCTCCGTTTTCGGAACTCCAGTTGCATCAGGATGTTGTTGTGGGGTGGGGGGTGGGAACATATACCATTGGAATTGCTATTAAATTGTGGGCAATCGACCGGCTCAAGGGGGCGTGGCCATCGTTTAGAGGCAGGTGCCTGGGGCACTAGGATAATTGCGGAAGTTGTGTGATGATCAGCACAACAAATTATTGGGTTCCATTGAGAGGACTGTCAGATATGGCAATAGGTATAAGGTTCGAAATACATTTAAGCCAGTTACTAAAATGCTTACATAAAATAATATTGACAAAAATACGTAAGCCTAAGATAGAATATAAGTCAATGAAAAATAACCAAATTAAAGTTGATGTTAACTATTAAAAGAGGTAACATCTTTGGCTAAGTACCATAACATAGACCAACATTTCAGATGCTGTTCACTACAACATATTTCTGAAATGTAATCTCTTCAGATAATGTTATTTGTACATTTTCAAAGGACAATGCTATGTAATTGAAAACAGCCGAACATTTCTGTAATGTAGAAAACATAACATAAACCAAAATAAGTTCTCCTTTGAGCAAATGTTGTAGATGGAAAAATCACAGTGCAGAATGGTGGTGTCTGTAATGTTAATATTGTTGCCTGTTTTGGGATTTAAGCCCTGTCATAAATCAAGCATTAACATTCCTGCCTAGTTTTCTGTTTAGAAATCTGGGAATAGTTTTTAACATTATATTTTTATCGACAAGTCACGTATAATGTGTGCTTTTTATTTTCAAAGAACTTATCTTTTTTCAAGCTCTTGTCTTCATACTAACTCTAATGAAACGGATATGTAAAACCAATAGCAGAGGCTGGTAGCTTAACATTATTTAAAACACAGACCAGGGGAAGTAAAAGCGTTCGAAGAGTAAACAGAAGACTTTAGCAGCCATAGAAATTTTCTACCCCTGTCTGATTTTAACAATGACAACATATACTTAACATTCAGACATGGGCCTTTGTTTCCTAGACAGTCGAAGTCATTAACAGAGACAGGACTCGATTCGAAGTTTTACAGGTCACAATTCATAACATTCGCTAAGAACCAAGGGGAAGTTCATGTTATTGGGTACATTTTCAAAATGTTAGAGACATTTTTCGTTTACAGTTGCGAAGACAGAACAGAAATCCGAACGCGACTTCGAACAAACTCTCCTGCGGTTCAATGCTTTGTAAAATAATGTTAAGGGACAACTGTTTACAAATCTAGAGTTCATTATTACAGCTGTTGAAAACTCAGGGGTTTTGTGTGTTGGCAAAAATCTTACGCTTACATTGCCGCTGTTATAGGTAGTCATAAATAAGGTTTTGTGCCTGTTGGGCTCGGATCATTGAAAAAATTTCGATAAAAGCTAAGCTGTAGTGAATGGTATCTGTTAAACGAAGAATGTTACATTTACAACCAGAGTTTTTCAATTCTTTTAATTGTTATTTTATGTTTGTATTTAAAGCATAATTTAATGAACATGCAAATTAGTTCAAATTTTATAGATAACAACTGGGAGAAGAAAAAATCGGCGAGCAAATGTTCATTTATTGGCATTAAGAGCTACCAATGCAAGGCATTCTAGATCTAAACACTTTTAAACTATAACATAGGAGCCACAATGCTTTATTAGTTTAAGATTAATAACTTTATATAAAAAGTATTCATGGTCATAAAACAAGCCCAGAGTCTAGGAAATTTATTTGGAAATAAGAACATTTATCAATTTAACCCTTGGTTATAAAGAAAATTTAAAATAGAAATTATGTTAAACTAAATTTAGAATTAAACTACTCCAGCCTAAGTTAGCTACCAACTTCTAACTACTGCCAAGCCTTGACTTTCTGCTACTGCCCCATAATTGCTTTAAACACTTGCCGGTCCAATTCGGTTCGTTCGTATCAGGACGCTCGTCACCTGAGCGATTTTGATTTGAGCAGGTCGTGTCCGCCAAAGAGCGCTTCTCTTATCAGTGATAAGGCCACCGTTATTCGGAGTTGCAACGTGGTGAGTTTCGGAGTTGAAAGTGGAACGCGCTCTCTCGCTCTCCCGCTCTCTCTCTCTGGGAGAGTCCTTTCGCTCTCGGGAGGAGGAAAACCGAAGAGTCCACCCGCGCACAAATCTAGGCAACAGACATTCGGATGTTCGGCTGTGGCCATCAGCCGTGTGTGGTGAAAGCCGCCAGAAAGACGAAGCCGGCCACGAAGCAGCGACCATTTAGGGGGGTTTCTGGGGTGGTGGTGCGACGGCGGCCTGTGACTTTCAGCTGGGAATTTATTTGCGCAAAAACGAAGCGGCTCAGTTTCGTGTTTGTTGTGCGCTCGTAAGGATGTGTCCGCTGGCGCTGCCGGACTTCGTGCGTTCGCGTCGCGTGTGTGCGCGTTTATCCTGACGCTGAACGTAACGGAACGTCTCTCAGCCCAAGAGGCCAACAAGGCCCGAAAAGTGCTTCAAGCCAGCCGAAAATCTATATATATCTCGAGTGAATGCCAGAATAATAATAATGCCTATTTAGCAAAGATAAGAAATATCCGATAATAAAATGCGGCAGTCGGTGTCAAGTTCGGTGTTAAGTTTTTATTTGTGTTCGTGTGCTTGGCGGGCAGCAAGTTCCAAACTAACGACGATCTCGAGGAATAACCAGTAACTGAGCGAAGGTCTTTTGTGCTGCAGAATATAAAAAACACAGCAAAAGGTTGTTATCCCCAGATTTTGTTTCTGAACTAAACGATTCATAATCGAGCCAGCTAGGACATAAAATTCCAAGCTCGTACTGCAGCATATTTTGCATTTTCCGGAGGACGATGCGGCTGTCGACTTTTGTTGACCCACTTTGCAGAGCGTTTTCCCTTTCAATTTGCGCCTTGAAGCGAGTTGGCCAAGACATTTTGGCCAACTTATCCCGCTCGGCCATCTCAGTTAATTAGTTTAATTAGTGAGTGTCGTGGGCGGTCGGCTAGTCGGTTTGCTGGCCCAGAAATTGGTTTGGCATTTCGGGGAAAAGTAAAGACCCTTTGGAACAAAGTTTTAATTTAAACTGCTGACCCAGGATTCGTTCGGTCATGCCCTGCCGCTAATAGCCGACATTATTGTTGGGGGATTTTTCCAGGGGAGGCGACCAAACAAAGGGCCACCCGATCGACTGTATGTGCCATTGAACAAACACCAAGCTGCGAACCCTTTTTGCGCCATTTTTCTTAATTCCATGGCTGCCATTTGTTGGGGCCATAAAAGCCAGCTTTCCAGGCAGCGACTTGAGACATTTCGTCGTCGGCAAGAAAGTAAAAATAAAATAAAATAAAATCAACAACAATGGCTGGCAAAACTAAAATAAATTTATTTGCTTTGCCACTAAATTTGCGCTGATTTCGGCAGTGGCTCTTATTGCGATTACCACACTTTTGGCATTATGTTTGTGGGGCCAAGTCACCCAAAAAATGTTTGTCAACAAAGGCAGCGAAGCGCAAAAATGGCTCTTGGACCCTCGAAACGAGAGTGTTTGTGTGCTTAACCTTATGGAGGAGAAGGATTTTTGGCTCGAGTGTGTGGCACACGTTCAACTATTTTCGAATTTGCGGCACGTGCCCAAATTGCAAACATCAGCAAATAATAAAATATATTCCGGCTGCAGCCTGAACGCAAACCGAATTAGTCGAGTGTCCTTTTGAGTTTTCAGTAATGCTTACAAGATGATTAGGCGTATGTGGCTGGCATGTGATAAATTCCGTTTCGTTTTGTGTAATAATTTCATTGTTGCTGCCTGCGATTTATAAAGCGCTGCTTTCATGGCGGCAACAACTGCAATTGTTGCACTTGCATCAAAGGCAACTTGTTGGTGGGTGGATGGGTGAATGGGTGAATGGGTGTTTTGGTTTCACCATCCGCGCTTTTTGTGGCAGCAGCAGCACTTGAGTCGCACAGCCACTGCAGCTGCACTTAAGCTGCTGCAGTTGTTATTTCTATTTTTCTCTCTCTATTTTTCGCACACCCATTGTGAACCGTCTGGCATTATAATCTCCATCTATATGAGCCGGCAAGTGGCGACAGCGGTACAAATGTAGCGACACGTCCTCCTGATATTGCACTCACTTGACTCGTGTTATTATTTGCTTTTCCTACACAATTTAAGCCGTTCAATCTGTATTAAAGGACATTCCCCAACACCTCTGGCCGTGCTAATTAAGCAAGTTTCAGCATTGCCAGTCAGTTAACTGACTGCTTTTCTATCATGTCAAAGCATTTAATTATACCATGGCATTTACCTGCTCCAACTTGTGCTCCACTCTTTCACATTTCTCTGTTGGACTTTGCCTGATTTATTTATGCATTTACCTTTTGCGAGCTGCGAGTTGTGAGCTGCGAGTTGTGAGTTGTGAGTTGCCCTGGGAGGAAGCTGCTGTCATGCTGCTGCTTCGTTGTCTTAATTCATTTTTTATTCCAACGTAAATAAGCTGTAAATTACAACTTTTTTTGCTGTTTCTGTTGCTGTTTCTGGTGCTGTTGCTGTTGCATCTGTCCCTTGCATATTTTGTATGGTTCTACTCCGACAATTCCCGGGCTGCTTGTTGCCCTGCCTCGTGGCTCATGGCAAATGCAGTACCATATTTTTTCGCTCTTCACTGCCGCTCTGTTTTTGTTCATGCACATAGAAAAATGTGCAACGTTTCAGCTTCAGAGTTTTTGAAATAAATTTTTATCATTATTTTATTATGTTATATTAATAGCTTTTTTATAGTAGATATTGGAAAGACAATAGACTGAAGTATTAAGTTGCACAAAAGATTTATTAAATTTGAATCATTAAAACTCTGTAAACATTGTGATTTCACAAAATAAATGGTGTTTCAATAAAGTAAAAAAAATATTGATTTAAAGTATTCAATAATTTGTCTACAAAAACAAAACAGCATCGACTGCACATTTATAACTTTAATAGGTTTATTTTTTTGAGAATAACATATTTTCTGTATTGTTTTACAAAAATTTTTTTTCTTAAATTTATTTTCAAAGGCAAAGTCCAAATGCTTTTCAAGTGAAAGCTTACACGACGCATAATTTATAGCTGAAATATAATATCCGTGTAAACAAATATGAAAATGCAAATGCATTTTTTCTTGATATTTGACCAATTTGAGTGATACTTTTTCTCTGTGCAAATCACATCTCCCACTGGTTTTTGACTGGCTACTGTTTAATTTAAAGTTTGCCCCCAAACGGGAAACGGACTGCACTTGCTAGTGGTGTTGTCATAACTGCAATCGGCCACTGACTTTCAGCTACTTAACGCTCCTCACTGTCTTCCGCTCGCTGTTTGGAGCATTGGGGCATAAAAGCGGCTCGGAACTGTCTGCGGACCCAAAGGGGTCTAATGGCCAAGAATGGTCGACAGAACGGGTGCACCGCGTTCGACATTATGTGGAAAATTGAGAAAATGTTGCTCAACCACCAACTACTAGTGCCGAGGCACTTTAATTGCCCCGGGCACATTGCGCCACTCTGCAATCCACAACCGGTCATTACGAACTGGATTTGGGTGGCTCTCAGTTTTCTATTTTCCTAACGGCTTGGGCTTGGGTGGGTGTAACTTGTTGAGTGACAGACCACTGACGGACTGCCACCGGAGATGAAAATGTTATTCCAGGGGGCAATTGTCGTTAAGGTGCTTAGCGTAAGGCGTTGACTATTTGAGGTCGTCAAGTCGCGACTATTAATGGGCTTCTCTGGTCCAAGTCTTTATTAGGCGTCCACTTTTCGAGGAATTACACAAGTCTCTGGGAAATAATAATACTGATTAATGGTGTATCAGCAACAGCAATGTTGTTCCAATTAAACAGTTAAACTTTCCTATCGTCTGGCACTAAATTTGAGGACATAGTTGGTTAGTCTTCAAATAATGAGCTATTCATTGTAAAAGCTTGATTAATATTTTTACTTATCTTACATTAATCAAAAATAAATAATATTGCTGTGATATCTGTGCAGGAAAAAAATCTATTTTCTCCAATAGATTATAAAGTTCCGCTTTAAAAATCAAATTTTCCCAATGGGGGTCATGTATAAATCCGCAGTTCTTGTGGAATGTCCTGATTCTTAAGCAAAGGAAATATTTATAGTCAAAAAACATTCAACGTTTTAATACGGTTTTTTGTTTTGTTTTATTTACCGATATCTCAAACAAACTTTCGTTAATGTTGTATCCTGGCCACGGCCAAAACCAAACAACAACAGCCACTCTTTCATGAAAAACTTATTTGCACTCACTGAGTTTTTATGTTCCAATACTCGGCCAGACACACATTGTGGTGTCTGTGAAAAAAGTCGAGGTGTTTTTGCCCACATGAAAGCCAAGGGTGTGTAGTATGGAAAATAACTTCAATTATCAGCTGCGGCAGGTATAATATTTTATGAATCAAACATGTGTGTGAATATTTTTGAAAAAAAAATAACGTAACATCAGAAGAGAGTGGGTGCGAGTTTACAAATTCAAAAGTGGTTGTGTTAAAGCAGAACAAAAACAATAATAAGTGTATTCGCCGGAGGATCAAAGAGATTTTCCATCTGCACATCGCTCTGTTTTCATTGCAACTTCCACGTGAAAGTTACAAATTTGAACTTTAAATTTTAACGTCAACACGAGGGGGTCACTGGGGGTTTAACAAAAAATAAACTTTCAGCCTGCAGCAAACACATTAAAACAAAGTTTTTAAAAGCAACCACAACATTTACGTCATGTGCAATGTGCGTCGGGTTGCGCGTTGTTGTCAGTGTTTGTAGTGTTTGTAGTTGTTGGTGTTGCTGTTGTTTTCCGTTGGTTTTGTTGTTTCTCCTGCACGAGCTGCTGCCAAAGTTGGTAAGGGGTTTCGTGGCAGCTTTAAGGCCAACTCACTCGCTCGCCATTTTTATAGTCAAAAGCCAAGTTGTTTGGGCCAACAGCAATCGCCATTTGCTGCCACAAGTTGTAACTGTTGCCGCATTAAATGTGCAGCCCGCCTCCGGTGCATTTCACTTTTACTATGGAGCCCGCTTTTATAGCCCATCCACCCAGTTGCACCACCCACCCACTACACCAGCCACTGCACCACCCACTATGCTCCTTTTTGGCCACATTAGTTGACTGCACACACCACCAGCAGAGATTTCACTCCATTTTATGCTGTCAGACTTCCGAGAGCGCCGCTGTTCTCGCTTGTTGTAAAAATGCCAAATTCATTTTCAGCATATAAACTTTAGCACACACACACACACACACACACTCTGACACACACGGTTTTTATGCTTCCCGCTGTTCGGGACTGACATCTTTAGTTAATTTCGCAGCCGCAAAAACTAAAACGAAAGGGATAGTTTCTAGGGGGCTTTAGAAGACCGTAAAAGTCCCTTTAATTGAAAAGTGAAAAAAGTACACAATCTGATAAAAAAAAATATCAAATTGTCGCAAAATGAAAAGTTAAATCAGCATAAAATTTAAGTTTAAAGACCGAAAATAATCCTTGTTTCAGACTTTTGTATTTAAAGGGTCACAAAGATTTATTAACATAAAAAAAAATAGTTTTGCTCTTGTTAAAAAGAAGTATTGAAGAAAATAGTTATAAACGCAGTAGATTTATTATGAAAGTTTTATCAAATGTTTGATCGCAAAAATACATAAAAATTGCAACCAAATCAAATGTTATCCCATTTACTCAAAATTGAATTTTCCTTTTTCGCTTTACTATTTGCAGCTCATCCGAAATGATCACCTAAAGCAAAAATCGGTGCAAACATTAAACTAAACCGTACCAAACTAAAATAACTAAAAACGCTGCGGCTCATACTCGCAAACATAGTTTAATTGGCACTGGAAATATACAAAAAATACATGTAAATTGATTTCGGAAAGCCCAAGGGCAGAAGTGAAAAAAAATCCAACCCAAATCCACAAAAAATCGTAACGCAAACCACCGCAAAATTTGCTTTAGATAAAAGAGAAATTAATACAAGAAAAACCAACTAAAAGCCACTCCCTAATCGCATCAAACAAAATGACGCTGCGCATATCGGCCGAATACGGAAATCATCGACGGCTCATCATTCCTGGCTGTGTGCTGCTCCTGATTTTGGCCATCTTGCCTGCTTCGCGGGCAGGACGCATCTTTGGTAAGTCCTGCGAAAATATATATATATATATATACATTTAGAAGGAGGTGTGATCAAAATTTCTATCAGTTGTTTGCGGCACTCATTAACGCGGTTTGCAGCAGTTTGCAGCTAATGGAATTTTTAATGCCGGAATCCTTAACCCACCCTTTGCCCCAGGACTTTCTTCCGTTTTCTGTATTGGTTTCGGGTCAACGGAGCTCATTGACTCGTCAAATGGGGTACAGAGAGCTCATGTTCTTTTCGTATTAATTATAATTACAGAAGGTCGCCTTTTTATGCCAGTCAACCTCGTTTACATTAATGAGGGACGTCAATGTCAAAATTAAACAAAAGCCTCGCACTCGGACTTTTTGCATTGGAAATGCCAGCGTCGTGTTTTTTTTTTCATTGTCATTGTTTTATTTTGCTTGAGTGTACATTTTTCTTTTGTGTGTGTGAGAGAGTGTGTTTGTCTGCATTGTTGATGTAATGAAAATAATTACATTTCTTGTACGTGGTTTGTACATAATTCCCACAGAACAGGAAAAGTCACCAGATTCTAGGACACACATTCCGAACTAATTAACTGGCAAATAAATAAGTAAACATGGGCACAATTTTGTACACATGGCGATAATTTACATTTAATTATTTCAGCATAACTAGTTCCGCGCAACTGTCAAAAAAGGGTTGTATGGTTGTATACCCAACTTTCTCTGGGGTCTCTAATTGCAGGCAGGTTTTGTCTGCCCGACTTTTCCGACTTTCCCTCCAGTGCCATTAGATTCGGTCACAGAGCAGCAGCAATAGTGACAACAACGACACTGGAGAGCAGTGAAAGCGGACACAATTCGCTGGAAAACCGAAACTTTTGTTGACACACATATTTTAACGGCCCCAAAAAGTGTGCTTCGAAAATGTGCACGCAAATGAGCGCAGTTCGCTCGTCATCAAGAGCTGAAATAAAAAACTTTTCAAAAAACAAAAAATAGTGATGTACAGTTGGATGTATGTTTGCAAAAGTCTCCGATTGTTTGGCTATATACTAGGCTTAAAGAAATTATGAACGTAAACAGGAAACCTTTCTTTTAAGAAGATTTTAGCAAACGAAATAAAGATAAAACAAATTTCTAGATGAATTTGATTTTATTTATATATTATTTATAAGCTAATAAAATTATTTTGCCATATATTCTTTGTGTTTAATATTTATATATTTTAGTTTTTGTCAATAAGGTTAGTTTAGACTATAATATTGTAGTTAAACTATTGCAAGTATTTCCGTATTTGTAAGGAATAAAACTTATTAAAAATGTTTTAAAATCTATTAAGTTTTAAAAACATCACTGGCACACGCATACAGACCCACAAAGTTATCGCGATTACATATGCGAGTGTGTGCGTGTGTGCATTGGCATTAGGCTGCCAGTTGGCGGCTCTTTTTTTCAGGCATTTTAATGTCTGCCTTCGGCCGCAGCCGCAACAGAAGAGCAATAAAACTGCAGGCCACACACACAAATACGCACATAACACACACACACACACACATTCATATATAGATATTTCCGACCATGAAAGCGAAAAGTTTACGCGCTTGTTTGCTATAATTTCGATTGTTTTCACTGCAGCGGCAGCAGTAGCAAAAGCAACAACAATGGCACCAACCTGCCACGCCCCTCAGCCACCCCCCTCACACACACACACACACACACACACACACAGAGTACAAAACACAGAGATTCGAACGCCTTTCAGTTCCCAGGACAATTGTGCACCATTCTGCAGCAATTTTCGTTTTATTGATGTGCATTGCTGCCAATGCAGCGAAGTTTGATGCTGCAACTGCCACTGCAGCTCGCACACAGCAAAAGCTCTATAAGTGGCACACACTTTTACTTTACTTTTGTTTGCGTTACGTACTTTCGGTTAAGTGCGAGATATTTATGAAAAACTTTTGAAAATGTTTTCGCAATTAAAGTCGCGACGACACAAACAATGGCGGTCGTCGAACAAAACGGAGTGGTGTACTTGGTCTACTTTCCCCTACCATCATCTAACGCTTTTTCACACAACTAGCCTAAGTGGCCGTGTAACTGCAGCTGGATGCAGCTAATTGTTGGCATAAACGATGCCACCCAGATTGTTTCAGATGCGGAAACAAAGGGGCTTCCTGTCTGAATGCTATCTGTACGGGGGAAAAATCACCCAAATTGGTCATCATCTAGGAAGTTTTTATCTCGAAATAACTCTTCCCTAAGACATTCAAAGCATGCTCTATTTAATTATTATAAATGTTTAAGAATTTGTTCTTTTAATTATTAAGAAACCCAATTTGTGTTTCCTAGTCTCTTGATTTTATTATAATTATAAACATTTTATTATTTTATAAACTATTATAGTTGTATGTAGTTGTATGTCAAATAACTGAAACTTTAAATAAATACTTTAATTAATTTTCATGAGCACTTCAGATTGTTTTAAACAAATATAGGGTATACAAACTCAAGACTTATCTTAATAAATGCCACTTTTCACATTGCATCATTTACATTTACTCCGAGTGGCTAGCAACAAGCTCCACTGCCCTAATCGAACATATGTGAAAAGCTGTCGCCTAGAAACAATATAACGTTAATGGGTAACCAATAAAAACAATGGTTGCAGAAGCCCCCATGAATAAGTCAGACAACTGTTTCGCCATACGAATAAGTTGAGTCGGCAATTTTTGCCATCAGGACTTATTTATTGGGGCTACAACATGGCCACGTGTGCTTGACTTACCTGCTTTCTTTTCCCCCCAGGGGCCAAACACATTGTCTTTTGGCCATTTAGGAATAGTCGAGCATTAAGCGCAAATTGGTGAATTGAATGCTTAAATGGCGGCTGCCTTTGTTTGCGGCTATTAGCCCGGCTAGAATGTCCTTCTTTTTTGGTCGATCCTTTTCACACATCTGCAATTACATCGGCAAAGTGTATTGGGCGCACGTCGCAAATCGTTTCGCCTTTGTTTTTAAATTATTCATGTTACGGCTAAGAGCAAACAGCGATTTAGGACTCCCCCGATTCGAGGCACGCACTTTATATTCAGCTCATTACAACGATGCCGAACCATTGGCGACATCGTGGGGAAAAATGCCGAGATTTTATTTAGTGTTGGCGACGTCCTTGGCGGCCATCCTCCTGTCTGGAGTAATTTCTTTATTAGATTCATTCGGGCCCTCTAGGAAATTCTCACTTGCCCGGGGCAAAGGCAAAAGCCGAGGGAAGTGGACGAGCGAGGGCAGCAGAGGCTAGAAACAATTTTCTAAATTAGTTTTTGCTATCCTAGCTCCTGCTGGATAGCGTTGCTGCAAAATAGCAGAAGAAATTGTTTAAGAATTACATTGAGTGGACAGGGGATAAAATAAAGTTTTTCACATCCTTTTAATAACTTTTAAAGCACCCGGAAAGCTTAAATTCCAGCTTATTCCCACAACTTTTACAGTCGCGCATAAATCAACAATCGATGCTTTACGGCTATGAAATATTCAATAAAAAAAAATAAAAAGACTCCAAAATGTGTGGCGATTGGAATTTTTTGAGAAATTCGCGTGCGCTGATTTATGACAACAAATTTTAATCATTATAAAATATACAGGAGGGCGAAAATTCTTTGCTTGCCCAAAAAAATACGTGCAATCAAAAAATTCAACGAGTTTTCAGCTGCTTCCAATATGCAATTCAAACACCGCAAATGTCCGAATTTTTTTTTTTATTTTACACACATTTTAATTAGTTTGTAATGAAGTAAAGAAAATGAGCAGGAAGCGTTTAATTTGGAAAATGGATTTACAAATAAATAAAGTGGCAGCAGTATTTTAAAATTGTAAGCTTAAAAAGCTAAATTAACTATTACTGAATTGGTCCTCATATATTTTTTCAGCCATAATTTTTAAATGCATGTAAATGCTTTTTGTCCAAATCCGGTTTTTTTTATTTACTGAAAGTAATTACATTAAAGTTTTTCAAATAATTACATCACAACTGCACCTCGGGCGACTTCAGTTTTTATTTACATTTTCTCTCCATGTGCTAAAATAACTTGAAATTTGCTTTGCACAACGCAGGCAAACAGAAATGGCAAATCCATTCGCATTGACCAACTAAAAGTGCAAACAAGAACTGCTTTGACATTTGTTTGGTTTGCCACAGCAACGAGTACATGGTAAATAATGCGGGATATTTGACATTTCAAAAAAGAAATAGAGGGAAGCCGAAATAGAAAATAGTTCCCTCGACACGGACATGCCATGCATGTCATCAAAATATGGCCTTTTCATAATTTATGCGAACGGGGCGCCCACGAAATACGCATTGCTCCTCTTTGGGCCCGGGATTTTGGGGCACAATATGGCTGGCAATTTGATGCTGCTTTGTTGCACGACCGCTTGGCTATTGGCATTTTCAATTAATGGAAAAATGCCAACGGGGCTTCTGGCCGACAGCGAAAAATAGTGCCCGAAACTGCAGCGAAGCCCATGGAAAACGACACATGCATATCAATTAGCAGGTTGCTAGGTTCAAAAATCTGTTTCTACTAATCAAATTTGATTATTTGCCACGGCTCATAGCAGGCGAAAAATCAAAAGAGAACTAACCAGGCGATCACAGTACTTCAAATCCGATATTACGTATACGCCGAGTGGACTTGATTTCTGCATGTTTGCTTCTCCATTTATTGAATCTACGGCTGGCCGGTCAACTATGCCAGTAAATTCAATTAAAAATCAAAATAGCAAAGTCAGAATACCCTTATATATAGAGCACGTTTGAATGATTTGTTGCTGAAAAAAGGAACAAATGTGAATGTGAAAAATATTGGCAAATAATAATGCAGTAAAAACCAATGAAAACTATTTCAGCATTGCGAAAATTAAACAATTTTCCTTTGCAAAAAGTAAACCAACATTGTATTCTAAAGGAAAGGAAAGAGAGAATATTCTTTGTTTTGTTTTTGGCCCTATAGTTTCACAGGCGAA